TGTGTGTGTGTGTGTGTGTGTGTGTGTGTGTGTGTGTGTGTGTGTGTGTGTGTGTGTGTGTACTGGCGCTCAGATGATATTTGTTTTCGAACTTCACACACACACACGCCTACACATTCACACGTGCAAACTCACACGTACACGTGTGCAGGCAAGCGCAGCAAAGGAGGCCACAGCCACTGCAGCTGCCACTATCGGCACGGGCGAGGTGGACGGCGTTGTTGCGCGTGCGGTGGAGGAACTGAAACGCCTGCGCACGTCAAACCGCACAGCAGAGGAGCAGGTGCAGGCGCTCAAGGCACAGCTGGCCGGTGTGCAGAGCGCCCTTGATGAGGAGAAGCAGCATGTGAGCCGCGCACGGCAGCAGGCGGAGGCCACGAAAGCAGAGCACGCAGCCGCCATCACGGCACTGACGCACCAGCACGAGCAGGCCGTGGCCGCGTTGAAACAGGAGCACAACGCAGCCGTGCAGCGTGCGGAGCGAGACATGCGGGACAGCCTGGCGAAGGAGCACGCTGCAGAGGTTGACCAGCTGCGCACCGCCCACGCAAGCGCGCTCGAGGCGGCACAGCAGGCGGCAGCAGCGGCGGCCAGGGAGGAAGCGGCAGCACGGCTGGACGCACTCACAGCGACACACAAGGAGGAGGTTGCACGCGTGCGACGTGAGCATGACGAGCACATTCGCGCCATTCGCCAGCACGTTCACGCCATCGCCACCACCCTCGGTGTCGACACCACGACGAACAACAACAGCGTCAGCAACAGCAACAGCAAAGGCGATAGCAACGGCGAGACCGCGGATGCCACACACGCCACAACCGTCGACAGCGGTGACAACAAGCAGGGCGGTGTGCTGGCTGTGCTGGGGGCGTGTGCGCGGGCCGCGTGCCAGGCGATGGCGGCAAAGAAGGAAAAGGCGTCGCTGGTGGACGACCTGCGGGCACAGGTGCAGGCAGCGGCAGCGCAGTCACGCGAGCTCAGCGCTGCTGTGGCGACAGCCACCACCCGCAGCGAGCGGCTGGAGGGCGAAGTGACGCGGCTCACCGACGCCCTGGCCAGGGCGCAGACGGAGGCGGAGGAGGCGTGCGCGCAGCAGCGGGTGAGCGAGCACTCGCTAATCGCGCTGGAGACGGAGAAGGGCGAGCTGGAGGAGAGGATGGCCAGTGTGCGGGCGGCGTTGAAGGATGCGGCGGCAGAGGTGGCGGAGCTGCGACGGGCGCGGGACGACGCAGAGAAGCGGGCGACGCTGCTCTCCATGCTGCAACATCAAGGCCCAACCGCCCTTGATGACGACCAAGCGCAGGGCAGCAGTGGCGGTGGTCGCGCCAATCGTGGGGACGCTACCAAGGCACCCGCTGTTGTTGCTGCTGGTACTGGTGATGATCATACACATGATCGAAGCAACAACAACAACAATAACAACAACAACAACAACAACAACAACAACAACAACAACAACAACAACAACAACAACAACGATGACGATGACGACTTTCAAACTGATGCCTCCACGCACACACGATCATCCAAGCCAAAACACAGGCAGCACACCACCACCACAACCAACTCAGCCACCAACACCAAGACCAGCTGCAGCAAGCCATCTGTGTGGGCTGATCTGCCCAACACAGAAGCAACAGCAGCACCGGCACCAACAACAGCGGCAACAGCAGGCGCCCGTGATGAGCAGAATGAAGGTGACGGCAACGGTGAGCAGGCCAAGAAGCGAGCGAAGATTGAGCAGGACTCGCACGAGCTGGAGAACATGGTCACGTCCGAAGAGGACAGCATGCCACAGCACGACAACAACACCGACAGCATCAACACCAACGATGATGGTGGTGGTGGTGGTAGTGGTGGTGGCGGGGGTGGCAGTGGCGAAGATGGGCAGGACAGCAGCGGCGGCAGCAGCAGCAGCGGAGGCCACGACATGGACATGGGCCTGGACACGCAGGCAAAGCGGGCCACCCCGAGCAAGCGCCTCAAGCGCTTTGGCACCGAGGACATTTTGGCGCAGGAGAGGCGGGGCCGCCGCACCGGTCGTGGTGATGATGGTGATGATGGTGATGATGGTGATGGTGGTGATGGTGTTGTTGATGGTGAGCACAACCACAACGACAGCCACGCCGACAGCGTGGGTGACGATGGTGAAGGCGGTGATGTCGACGGTGGTGGTGATGGGTCGTGTTCACCATCGCCTCCGGGCCCGAAGACGCGACGACGAGCGGCAGCAGCAAAAGAGCGGCGGCGGTCGCGATCACCGCGGCGGCGCAGCAGAAGAGGAAGCAGCGATGCACGCAGACACAGGGAGGGTGAGCGCAATGAGCAGGAGGGACAGGAGGAGGAGAAAGAGGCCGAGAAGAAGAAAGGGAAGGACAAGGGGAAGGAGGAGGACAAGGGGGCGCAACAACGGCAGGAGCAGCAACGGCAGGAGGCGCAGTTGGGGGAAGAGCAAGAACGGCAGCAGAGGGCGGGGTCAGCAGCAGGCAAGATGGACGTGCGTGGCAGCAAGAGCCGCAAGGCAGCAAGCAAACCTGCTGCCACCGCCAGCAAAGCGCAGGACAGCGAGACCATTGTGGTGCTGGATGATGACGAGGATGAAGACGACAGTGGTGCAAACAACAACAGCAGCGAGAAGGCTCTCAAGCACAAGGCTGCAGCTGTGCAGCAAAACAAGCAGAAGCAGAAGCAGCAGAGGGCAGTGTGCGTGTGCTTGAGCGGCTTCCGCCCAAAGCTGGCCGGGTACACAAACGACGACAAGCTGCGGCTCGTGGACTACGCCAAGCAGCTCGGCGCGCGCGTGCACGGCGGCGCAAACTTCAGTGACGACATCACGCACGTGGTGGCGCCGCAGTCGTGCCGCACGCTCAAGGTGCTTGCAGCCACGCTGGAAGGGCGCTGGCTGGTGTCCAGCGCATGGCTGGTTGACTCGTTCAAGGCGGGCAGGCTGCTGCCCGAGGACGGGTACGGAGAGTCGTTTGCGTCTCGCCCGTTTGCCAACAAGCGCTTTGTGTTTTCGCCCGGCTTTGCGCGCGCTCGCGCAGAGAAGCAGAACAACGCGCGTGCGCTCGTGGAGACGTACGGACATGGCACGCTGCTGCCAGGCACCTGCCCGCCCGCAAAGCAAGCTGAACAGCAGCAGCTGCTGCTGCAGGGAGGTGGTGGGGATGGTGTGTCTGCGGATGATGTGGACTTTGTGCTCGTGTCGTCCTCGGAGGCATCGACGTCAACAAAGGCGCGGGCAAAGCTGCAGGCGGGCAGCACAACCGCCACCAGCGAAAGCAAAACTACAGCGGGGACAAAGGCGGTGGCTGATCCGCTCGCTGGCATTTCAAAGGACAAGACGCTGACGTGGCAGCAGTTTCTTGATTGCATCCCTGCCATTGGCGCGCACAACGCCACGCGCACAGAGACGACGACAACCGAGGCGGTCAAAGGCGAGAGCGCAAGCGGTCCTGTCGGTGGTGATGGCGACAAGATGGAGATTAACCAAGACGGCCCTGAACGGAAGAGGAAGCAGCAGAGCAAGCAGGACAAGCAGAGCAAGCAGGACAAGCAGAGCAAGCAGGAGCAGATTCACGGTGATGGTGATGGCGGCGATGATGATCACGACGAGAGCGGTGAACGCGGTGGTGGAGGTGGTGGGGATGAGCAAGGGCAACAGCAGCAGCAGCAGCAGCAGTCGTCTCGTACAATGCACGCAAGCATTTCTGAGGAGGATGAGGTGCGGTTGTCGCCACCGCGAACGCGAGCAGCGGCACATGCGGCTGCAGCCATGAGGACGCCCTCGCCCAAACAGCGCCGACAGCGCAGCGCGGCAACAGGGTGAGTATGTGCGTGTGTTGTGTGTGTGTGTGTGTTGTGTGTGTGTGTGTGCATGCGCTTGTTTACCTGCGTCCTCATCTCGCCTCACCATCCCACCTCACCACCCCTCATGCCACCACCTGTGACCTCTTCCGCCACCCACTACCACCAGCTCCAAGAGCGCGTCTGCGCAGGCAAGTCCCCTCGCAGCAGCAGTACCATCGCCGGTCAGTGCCGCGTCCCCACGTGCCTTCGCTCGCTTGCATCAACAACACCATGCCTGCCTCTTCTTCCCCACTCACGGGAAATTGATGTGCGTTGCGGTGTTGTTGGTTGTGCAGGACGTGTCTGTGTCGTCGCCGCACTCCTCGGCCAAGAAGGGCAAGCTCTCCCTCTCGCGCCGGCGCAAGACGCGCCAGAGCGGAAGCAAGCGCCTGTGACGCGTGGACTGAAGATTGATTTGCACTCTCTTGTGTGTGTGTGTGTGTGTGTGTGTGTTTGCTTGTGTGCTTCACTTTCCCTGCCCATGTTTGCATGTGTGTGTGTGTGTGTGTTGCTTTGCATGCTGATTCAGCTTAACCATCGAGTCATACCCCCCGAATGAATGAGACGCAGAAATCGGAATCCCATCGTCCACCAATGTAATGTGTAATGTAACAACAACCATCAGCCAAGCAATCAAACAAGCACACGCGCAAGTACGCAACTACACACATGCACCGACACACGTGCACACAACCACCACGCGTGTGCAGTCAGACGTTTCGGGAGAAGTTGTGTGCGGCCATGCTGATGGCGGAGTCTGCCCAGCTCTCTGGCAGGGCGCTGTGCGCGCGCTCGCTCGCTTGCTCAATGGAGAGGGTGGTGAGCACCCCAAACACAATGGGAACCCCCGTGCGCAGCTGCAGGTCCATGATGGCCGGCGTGACGGCGTTGGCAATCACCTCCATGTGGATGGTGCCCCCTTTCAGCAGGATGCCCATGCAAATCACAACATCAAACGCACTGCCATCATCATCAGCAGCACCATCAGCAGCACCATCATTTGCACCGTCGTCTTCACCACCGTCATCAGCACCAATGTTGCTGCTGCCTGTCTGCTGCTTGCGCGAGAGCAGGGACGCCACGGCAAACGGCAGCTCAAAGGATCCGGGCACCGCCACCTCCGTGATGTTGGACTGCTGCACGCCACGATCAAGCAGGCGCTGCACGCACTTGTCCCGCATGACGCCAATCAGCTCGTCGTGCCAGCATGTCTTGACGATGGCCACCCTGCACGTGCTCGTGTCCACGCCCAACGGCACACGCAGTCCGGCGCCGTGCACCGTGCGCCCGCGTTCCGTCTGTGAAGAAATTGCCGCCATCTCCGCATCCGCGGTCACGGTTGGCGCGTTCGCACTGCTGCTGCTGCTGCTACGGCCGTTGTTGCCGTCACCACTGTGGCCTGTGCTGCCTTGACCCGCTGTTGCTGGTGTGTTTTGGTCTGAAGCATGTGGGGCTGCATCATCACCCAACGTTGTCTTCTGCTGCTGCTGCTGCTGTTGCTGTTGTTGAAGCTGGGCCTCAACGTATTTTGCAGTGACGTCCACCTCGAGGTTGACCTGGTGGCCGACAAGACGCCGCGGCAGAACCACTGCGGACTGCGTGTGCGGAATGAGCATAAAGGAGAAGGTGGACTGCTCGCGGTCCACGTCCACCACCGTCAGCGACGTGCCGTCCACGGCAATGAACCCCTTTGGCACAATGTACTTCATCAAGGGCGGTGGAGCGCGGATGACCATCTTGAGCGCCTCGCCGTCGTTCTCTCGGGAGAACACGACGCCCGTGCCGTCCACGTGGCCCTGCACGTTGTGGCCGCTGTTGCGCCCGCCCTCTGCAAGTGCACGCTCCAAGTTCACGCCATCTCCGGTTCGCAGCAGGCCCAGGTTGGTCTTGCGCAGCGTTTCCGGCGCCAGATGCACGGTGAAGGTGTTGGCGGCTTCAGTGTTGGCGGCATCAGTCTCAAACGCAACCACCGTCAGGCACACGCCGTTCACCGCAATGCTGCAGCCAATGTATGCGCCGCCCAGCACCTGCTCACTGCACTGAACCACCAGCACCGTTGCTTTCCCCTTTCGGCCATCCCACAGCGTTACCTCTAGCAAAAGAAAAAAAACGTGTGTGTGTGTGTGTGTTTGGGGGGGGGGGTGATATAACTGTGCGTGTGAGGGAAGTGACGAGAGGATGCACACATGCACACAAACATGCACACGACAACACAAACATACACACGAAAACACGCACATGCACACACATGCACACAAACATACACACAAACATACACACGAAAACACACACATGCACACACGAAAACACACACATGCACACACGAACACAAACACACACACACACACACACACGAACACAAACACACACACACACACATGCACCCTGCACCTACCCTGGTCGGTCTGCAGGGAGACGACCGTGCCAATCTCTTCCACAATGCCGGTGAACATCACGCCGTTGCCTGCTCACACTACAAAGATGTCTGCCTTGTATCCGTGTGCTGTCACATCAATGTAAGTGGCTGCAAGACGCAGCAGCCCAGTGTCCGCTGCTGTTTCGGTCTTGCTTTGGAGGAGGACACCAGGTGCTGGCGATTTGTTGGTGGTGCGTCCAATTTTCCCACAACACGCCAACGCAACACAAACAAAAAAGCCAAAGCGCAACGATGCGGCGTGGTGATCGTCGTGGTGGTGATGGTGATCGCGCTGGTGATGGGCGGAAGCAGTGGGTTGTAGGCGAGCAGCATGGCAGCACGGCACAGGGCAGGAGTGGTGGTGACACCCGGAGCGAGAAAACGCCCCTGATTAGCGGGTCAAGGTCCCCAATCACAAAAGAAGTGCGAACAGGAGGATACGGAGGGACGGCAGACGCAGCCATCATCCAAGCATCAACATCGCCGCTCCTATCTCAGGACAACACCAACAACAACAACAGCAGCAGCCACCCTGGACAGCAACGGGCGTACTGGACGCGCTGGTACATGCTCACCGTCTGTAGTCTCATCGCTTTTGCTCAAGGTAATCAGCAAGTGCGGTATCACTGTGTGGATGTAATGAGTGGATGAGGTGAGGTGGGCAGGTTGAGACGCGCGCAATCATCAATCGCTTGCTCACACACGATGTGCTCGCGCTCACGTGTTGTTGTTGTTGTTGTTGTTGTTGTTGTTGTTGTTGTTGTTGTTGTTGTTGTTGTTGTTGTTGTTGTTGTTGTTGTTGTTGTTGTTGTTGTTGTTGTTGTTGTTCCGTGTGTGCTTGTTTGTGTGCAATCACACACACTCTCTCACTCACACGCACGCACGCACACACGCACATGCACACACACACACACACACACACTCTCTCTCTCTCTCTGCATGTGTTTGCGATCTCTGCGCGTGCACAGGGGCAATCTGGAACAACTTTGGACCCATCGACCTGGCGGTGAAGCCTCTGTTTGGATGGGATCACGGCACCATCGCTCTCCTTGCCAACTGGGGTGAGCGAGTCAGGCTTGCACGCATGCTGCTGTGGCTTCTTGTAGCTTCTCACGTGGGTGGGTGGGTGGGTGGGTGGGTATGCTCACCAGTAAAACCGTACATGCACTCATGTGCTTGCGCACACACATCCTCGTTCACACACTCACACACATACACACACACATTCACACACA